CAGGTCTCTGACAGCCAACCTTGAGCAGAGACCACTAGTCGATTCCAATGAGCATCAACTATGAACAAGGGACTTCTTTTGTTGTTTTAAGTTACTGGGATGTTCCCGGTTGTTTCTTACTGTAGCAGAACCTAGCCTGTCTTAACCGATCTCTCCCTCCTGTGGGCTCATAATAGAGAGGCTGGGCAGGAGCCTCTTGCCATGGGGGCCAAGACCACTTAGCTTAAGCTCTGAGTTCCATTTACCTTCACAGACCAATCCCCTCCCACCTGTCACGGTGCACCCCTTCTTCTGCGCCCTTCCGGGCTTCACAAACCCACCTGCCCTGGCACCCACTTCCTGATTTTTGTAACACGCTTCCTGCTCTTTTGCCACTCAGACCGCAATTTGAGATGTGGTTTTCTAAAGAACTAGCTAAGCCCAAGCCATCTGAAGAGACTTTCAGCTACTGTTTTGAGGTCACTGCGGCCAAATGCTGATTTCCATAAAAGCTGCCAGTATTCCAAGAAGATGATAGCGGTGACAAGTGCACACTTGGTTGGGAAATGCTGCACCCTGGACACCGCCTGTGAGGAATGAACCAGAAGTTCTGTTGGAAAATGATGATGCAGAACAGAGGGCACTGGGTTGGAAGTGCTCTTAGAATGAAGTTTATTGAGCACCTACTATGCCTGGCAATCAGAACTCTGTTGCCCCTGTGTCAGGGGACTCAGGTGAGAGGGATAAGTGTGAGCAGAGGGTGGTGATGATACAGCATGATAAATTAGGCTGGCTGCCTCATCTAGTCATTTATTCATCTAGGGCCTAGTTAGTGAGTTCTCCCAATATGCTGGGGACTGGGCATTAAGTGCAAACCAGCCAGGGACCATTTTTGCCCTCCCAAAGTTTGAAGTCTAACAGCCCTGAGAGAAATAGACACGGAATGCTAAGGGATCATCTAGCAGAGGCAGATAACCTCATCTGGGGTAGGGATGGGGTTCTAGGATAAGTTTATTAAGGATGTGACTCCAGAACAGAGTCCTGAAGGAAGAGCAGGAAGGAGGCAGCAAAGAAGGGGGAAGGGCATTCTAGGAGGAGGGAACCGTTGAAGCAAAGGCTGGAAGGATGAATCAGCTTAACACATTTGCTAAGTGCGAACAGTTTAGTATGACTAAAGCAGAGAGTTTAAACTAAAGAGGAACAACAGAGAAGGCGAGAGACCAGGCTGACAGAGGCTACATCTCCAAGGGTCTTGGGTGCTGGCTTTAGGTGCTTGGACTTAACTTGAAGACTGAGGAGGCTTTGCAGGAGTTTTGAGCGGAGTGTTTATTAGTTAGGAAACAGGCTGAAGTACAGTAACAAAGACGTTGAACTAACAACGGCTTAGACAAGATAGACGTTTGCTTCTTGCTTATGTAAAAACAGATAGGCAAGCCAGAGTGGGCACGGCGGTTCCACAATCACGAGGGACCCTGGTTCCTTCTGGTTTGTTGCTGTGACATCTTCAACACACAGCTTCCTTCTTGTGGTCTAAAGAGGGCAGCTCTGTCTCCCACCATCACATCTGCATTTCAGCCAGAAGGGAGAAGTATGAGGGATGTGGAAGACATACCCCTTCCCTTGAAAGGCATAACCCAGGACTTGCCCACATCACTTTCATTTACATTGTACTACCCAGAAGTGTGGCCATGGCTAGGGGCCAGGTTGCTGGGAAATTAGTTTCTATTCTGGGCAGACATGTGTTTAGCTAAAAGGCAGAGGCTCTATTATTAAAGGAAGGATGGAGGCTGGGAAACAACCAGCTGTCTTCAACAGGGAGTGATGATCCTATTTGCTTTTTGGAAAGATCTCTCTCAGGAAAGGTGGAGGAAGGTCTGGGTGGTAAGGGATCAGAGCCAAGGAAGTCATCCAAAGGAGAGCTACAGAGGCCCGAACCAAGGTGGAGACATCTGGGGTAGAGGAAGTAGACAGAGGCTTAGGAGAGAGCTGGAGGTTGAACAGACCAGGATATGGTGACCAACTGGACTTAGACACACATCTAATTTATTGTACTTAGCACAGGGCTGTGACCGCTTATAATAAGTGCTAAGAGATCGTGAATGTACGAGGGGAGAGTAGGAGCCAAGGATAATGACAGTAATAATAATGGCTCCTGGAACTAGCTTGACTGAGGAATATCAACATTTAGAGGTAAATATCAGGGTGTCTGGGTGGCTCAGTTGGTTGGGTGTCTGCCTTCGGTTCAAGTCATGATCCCAGGGTCCTGGGATAGAGCCCTGCATTGGGCTCCCCACAGTGGGGAAACTTCTCCCTCTGCCTCTGCCTGCTGCTCCCCTTGCTTATGCTCTCTGTCCAATAAATAAATAAAATCTTTTTAAAAAGGTAAATATTGAGTCATTTTTCTTAAGAAAAATAACTGCCACCAACTGGTCCTCCAGCTGGGAGGACATTCAGTCATTCTTAGTTATTAATGCAGTCTCTTGTTTTGGGCATTAACCTGGTCTTTCTAATTCCTCCCTCCTCCTTCCTTCCCACCCTCCCTCCTTCTCTTCATTCCTTCCTTCCCTCCCTCTTTCCTCTTCCTCCCCTCCTCCTTCTTTTCTCTCATTCCTTCCTCCTTTCTTTACCTTTTTTGTCTTTCTATTTTCAAATGTTGATCTCATAGTGGACTCCAAGTCCCAGCACGCAGGACTGGTGGTAGGAAGGGAGTTGGCCATGGTCTGCCCTCTCCTCCCTGCCCTCTGGTGGGTAGGAACAGAAGGAAATCAGGACCTGCTTCCTTAGGTGTCCCCTGCTGGCCCTTGGCAAGCCCCTTCATCACTGCTTATAAGCGGGCTGAGTTCCTGTTGTCACAGCTGCTCAGCTGATTGTCTACAGCCACGGAGTGTGGGGCTGAGGGCCGCACAGGCCATCCTGAGAAAGGACTTGGTGCTAAAGAGCACTCCTCTACCGGCGGCCTCGGGCTCACCTCTTTGCCTCCAGCACACCTACTGCCCCCATCACATCTCCCCTCTGTGGCTCCAATCCCGGGGCTGTGGACATGGGCAGAATCTGTCTTTCCTCTTCTCACCCACTGGCCACCCATTCACACCCTCAGCCTTTTCTCTTGGGTGTCCTTTGCCCTACTTCAGTTAGCACCAGGGCAGGTCACAAGTACAGTGGTTCAGCTGACACCCATGGGAATGCGAGGCCAGGTCCCTCCAGTGACACCCCAAACTCAATGAATAATTCTCTGGGCTCTGGTCCACTTGTTCAGTATCATGTACTAGACTACCCCAAACTTCATGGCAGAAACAATTACAAATAGCATCCTCTCAGATTCTGTGGGCCAGGAATTTGACAGGATGCAAGGGGCATGGCTGGACTCTGGTGGAGGTAGGCAGCCTCCGAGATGCCTCCCAGTACTCACGCCCTTGCATGTTAGTCTGTCCCCACTCTGTATCAAGGTGGGTCTATGTGGCAGTCCAATATGGCAGAAGCGATCATATGTCACTTTCGAGGTGAGGTTATAAAATATATTGGGGTTCCTGCTGATCTATCTTTTGGATCGCTCAGTTCGGGAAGCCAGCTGCCATGCTGTTAGGACACTTATTCATGGAGAGGCCCATCTGGAGAGGAATGGAGGCCTCCCGCCAGCAGCCATGTGAGGGAGCTTTGAAGTGGCTCCTCTGGCCACTGCAGCCCTTGGCCAACAGCTAGACAGCAACTTCATGAGAGAGCAGGAGTCAGAACCACCCAGGTGTGCTGCTCTAGGACTCCTGGCTGTCAGAAACTGTGTCAGATGCTAACTGTTGTTTGAAGCTGTCACACTTCAGGATCATTTGTTATGCGGCATTAGGTAACTGATACACTGCTCCAGGATGTCTGTATCCTTAGCTGAGAAGACTCACATGGTGGGGGACTGGGATCCCCTGGAGGCTGCTTTACTTGGGGTGGGGGGATGGAGCTTTAGTGGGTATGGCTTGAAGGCTCTGTCGGCCTTGTCACCTGGAGGGCCGACATGTGGACTATCCATGTGGTGTGGCTTCTCACAGCATAGTAGCTGGGCCATGAGAAGGAGTATCTGTAGAGTGATCTTTCTGAGAGAACGTTTGGCCTTGTCCCCAAGTCTAGCAGGGTAATTTCTGCTGTATTCCGCTGTTACAGGTGAGTCACTAAGGTGAGTACAGATTCCAGAGGAAGGGATTTAACTGGTTCTCTTGATGGAGGAGTGATAAGGTCGCATTGCAGAAGAACAAGTGGGATGGGAGAAACAATGGCCATCTTTGCAAAAGACAGTTGGAGCCCTGCATCAGGGGGAGGAGGCAGTCCCTTGGTCCAGCCCTCAGGAAGGGAGGGATCCGTGGCTTTTTACCAGCGACACATCTCCAGCCCTTCCTATCAAGACCTGGGAGGACTTGATCAAGATAGGAAATGGCCCTTCCTATCAAGTCCTGGGAGTCATCCTCTGAACTTGGAAGGTAGGGTAGTGCACACCTTTTCTTCTCAGCTCTAGATTCTGGGGCTCGTTTCCCTTTCAGGATAAACAGGGAAAGTCCCACATGTCACCTTCTCCTGCCAAGGCCCGCCATCCTTTCCCTACAAGCCTCAGTGCTAACCTTTTCCCCTCAGTTAGTCTTGTACCCCTCTACTAGCTAGGAATTAAGACTCTCTGCCTTTTCAGAGCAGGAAGTAATCCGGCCAAGGTCACATAGCCGGAAGTGGTAAGCGGAGACTTGGCACCCTGACCGGTAGGTCCAGGCTCTAGGGCTCTGGGATTCCAGAAAGCCTAGTGGGCATTGGAGCCTTTCCCCTGGTCTCCACAGGACCCTGCTGAGGGCGAGGCCAGTGTGAGCAGTGTGAGGGGGAGGGGTTGGACTCTGCCTGAGGGTTTGGGTTAGTTGTCTTGTGTGCTGCTGGGTGAAAGGGCAGGAGAAACAAAAAAAGGAAAATCCATTTTTACTTTCTTTTCAGGCCTGTTCCCCAGTCCGCAAATTTCAGCAGCCAGAGGGTGACCTCCAGAGTACCAGACCTGGGCTCACTGCCCCTCTGCATTTGTTTGATGGAAACCCCTTCTCTGTCCCGGAGCCTCTAGTCAGAGAGCCCTCTGAGCTCCTGGGACCTGAGGATGCTGGGTCTTGTGGTGATTTCTGGCCCCAGTGAACAGGTCTCTGGCTGGTGTCCAGCCTGCCCTGCCCCTCCTCTCCCTGTGACCCTTACTTCCCAACATGCTACAACTCCAGATCCCAGGATGGGACATGTCCCAGCACCTACTGCCTGCCAGGTGCTGAGCTCGTGTTGGGGACCCAGAAATAAGGCAGATACAGCCTCCGTCCTCGAGCCAGTCGCAGTCTAGCGGGATGTGAAACGTGAGGTGTGAAGTGGTTGGTGTCAGGTCAAGGGCATGTCGAATAAGGGTTTATAAAGCTCCAGGCCAGGTGAAACTATGATTATACAGAGATAGATTCAAGATCAGTAGTCATTTAGGGTTGGGGGGGGACTGGGAAGAGGCAGGAGGTGTTGGCTCTTCTGTGGAGTGTTCTGAGCATGAGGAATGGTCTGAGGTGGGGAAAATATCCTAAATCTTGATAGGAGTGTGAGTCACATGAGAATATTTGCTTGTTACAGCTGAGGGTTTCGCCTAAGATCTGTGAATTTCATCATATGTAGATCATACCTGTGATGGGCAGCATTCAAAATAGGCCCTGGGACCCCTGCCTCCTGGTGTGCACGCCCTAGGGCAAACCCCATTCCTTGGATGGTGTCAGGTTGGTCTCCGTGGCCCATAGAATATGGCAGAAGGGATGGTGAGTCTCTGCTGAGATTAGGCTACAGAAGATGCTGCTGTTCCATCTTAGTCTCTCTCTCTCTCCTCATATGGCTTGTTCTAGAAGAGGCCCTGTGCTAAGCATCCCTATGGAGAAGGGTGTGTAGCAGAGGAACTGAAGCCGCCTGCCAAGAGCCATGTGAGTGAGCTTACAGTAAGTGGGTCCTTCGGTCCCAGTTAAAGCCTTCGGGTGTCTGCAGCCTTGGCTTGCTGCTTGACCACAAACTCATGAGAGACCCTGAACCAGGGCCCCCCAGCTAAGCGGCCTCCCGATTCTGCCTCTCAGAAGTTGTGTGGGATGATAAATGCTTAGTGCTTTAAGCCATTACATTTCGGGAATTATTTGTTCAGGAGCTCTAAGCGATGAATACAATATTTCAGTAAACTGAACATGTGGGGAGAACAGCTTCTAAGTGCGCTTGGCCCAGTTGGCTTTCCAGAGGACCTCCAAGCGCTTTCTGTGACTCAGACTTCTGGGCTCAGTGTCTGGAACAGGGAGATGAGCGGCTTGGAGCTCTGTCTAGACATCAGGAATGGGTGTCTCCAACATAGCCATGGCTTCTACCCCTGGCCCCAGCCCCGAAACAGCTGCACACGGCACCCAGCCGGCAACTGCTGTGGGGAGAAGACTCCAGAAATGCTCCTCCATCCCCCTCCCACATTCCCTGGCCTCATGCCCAGGTCTACCTGCAGGAATCCACACAAGCCTCAGAAGCGAATCACAGCTACTATTTTTGGAACACTTCTTATGTGACAGGTGATATGCAAAGCGCCTGGCGTGCATCTTTTAATTTATTCTTCCCACCATATCAGATATTCCCAAATCTATTTTACAGGGGAGGAAACAGAGACCCTGAAGCCACCTGCCTGGGATCCTAGAGCTGCTAGGGTGTGGCTGCTTTAGACTTCAATCCAGATTTGTCTAGTTCTCCCACTGAGAGGCCAGAAAGCAACCCCAGACCTGAAAATACTTTTCTTATCTGTTCTCTGTTTGAGAAATCCCCTGTGCATTCCTCTGTCAGAGAAAAGGCCACAATCTCAACCCAGATTCCCCAGAGCGATGATATAAAGAGCTGGGGAGTGGGGTGGGGGGGGTGATGGGAGGCGGGTGGTGGTGATGGTGATGTTCCAGTGCCAGGAATCTCAGAGATCACCGGAATCACAGGGAGCAGGGAACTGTGATCCAGAAAGGGAAGCGACTCTTCCAAGGACTCCAGCAGCCCAGGGCTCTTTCTACTGCACTGCCCCGCCTCTGCCACACAAAGGGGAATTGTCACCTTGTGGGAGAAGCATAACAGGGTAAAGGATGGCTTTGGCGGGGGGGGGGGGGGGGGGGGGGGGG